GGAAAGACTAGCAATGTAAGCTGCTATAGAGTGAAAGTTTCTCCCAGTGGAAAGGTACAGAACAAATGAACTAAAAATAAAGTAAATAAATCCATCCACATGGTATCCACACAGTTTTCTGATCCTCCTCCTTGGAGCTGGTATCTAAGTCATTGCTTGAGGTTACAGTTGCGGTAAACAGCAGTTTCTCTGCCTAGTCTGCAAGATGATATTTTCAAATGGGGAAATTTTAAAAAGCACTATGCAATTCAGTGTAAGGGTTACACTGTTCAGAATTAAACAAAAAATTCTGCTCCCCAAATAGATTACACTACACAATTCCTTGGATTACAGACTGAAGCTGCAGTCTTGTACACATGCTTGCACATAAATACATGGACAGGATTATATGGAAGTCTTATTGAATTCCATGTGTAACTATGTACTGGGTTTGAGTGCTGGATCAATTTTATGGGACAATAAAAAACTAGAAACGTTAACAATGAACTGAACATTCTGATACATAAGCACATAAGAGAAGCCAAGGTTGGACCAGGCCAATGACCCATCCAGTCCAACACTCTCACACAGTGGCCAAAAATACCAGGTGCCATCAGGAGGTCCATCAGTGGGGCCAGGACACTAGAAGCCCTCCCACTGTTGACCCCCCCTAGCACCAAGAAGACAGAGCATCACCTTGCCCCAGAGCCCCTATCTATACCTTGTGGCTAATAGCCACTGATGGACCTTTGCTCCATATGTTTATCTAATTCCCTCTTGAAGCTGTCCATGCTTGTAGCCGCCACCACCTCCTGTGGCAGTGAATTCCATATGTTAGTCACTCTTTGGGTGAAGAAGTACTTCCTTTTATCTGTTCTAACCCGACTGCTCAGCAATTTCATGGAGTGCCCACGAGTTCTTGTATTGTGAGAAAGGGAGAAAAGTACTTCTTTCTCTACCTGCTCTATCTCATGCATAATATTATAAACCTCAATCATGTCACCCCTCAGCTGTTGTTTATCCAAACTAAAGAGCCCCAAACGCTTTAACCTTTCTTCATAGGGAAAGTGTTCCAACCCGTTTATTATTCTAGCTGCCCTTTTCTGCACTTTTTCCAATGCTATAATATCCTTTTTGAGGTGTGGTGACCAGAACTGTACACAGTATTACAAATGAGGTCACACCATCAATTTATACAGGGGCATTATGATACCAGTTCGGACCCCATCAACGTGTATTTATAGTTAGGATTTTTGGCTCCAAGCTGCATCACTTTGCACTTGGCCACACTGAACCCCATTTGCCACAGTGACGCCCACTCGCCCATCCTTGACAGATCCCTTTGGAGTGCCTCACAATCTTCCCTGGTTCTCATCACCCTGAACAACTTCATGTCATCTGCAAATTTAGCCACTTCATTAATAAACAAGTTAAAAAGCATCGGACCGAGTACTGATCCCTGCTGTACCCCACTGCTTACCACCCTCCCCTGAGAATATTGCCTATTTATACATACTCTCTGTTTCCTATTAATTAGCCAGTTTTTTATCCACAAAAGGACTTGACCTTTTATCCCATGACTATTGAGCTTACTTAGGAGCCTTTGATGAGGGACTTTATCAAAAGCTTTCTGGAAGTCAAGGTAAACAACATCTACTGGGTCCCCCTTGTCCACATGTTTGTTCACTACCTCAAAAAACACTAACAGGTTAGTAAGACAAGATTTTCCCTTACAGAACCCATGCCGAGTCTGCCTCAATAGGTTTTGTTCATTAATGTGCCTACTAATTCTTTCCTTAATAACACTTTCCACGAACTTACCCAGTATCGATATCAGACTGACTGGCCTGTAATTTCCCGGATCTCCTCTGGAATTCTTTTTAAAGATGGGAGTGACATTAGCTACCTTCCAGTCCTCAGGAATGGAGGCAGATTTTAAGGAAAGATTACATATTTTTGTAAGGAGATCCACAAGTTCACATTTGAGTTCTTTCAGAGCTCTCGGATGTATGCCATTAGAGCCTGGTGATTTATCAGTTTTTAAGTTGTCTATCAGTTGTAGGACCTCCTCTCTCGTCACCTCAATCTGACTCGGGTTTTTCAACACCCCTCCCAAAATCAGCAGTTCTGGAGTGGGCAAGCATTTCTCATCTTCCACAGTGAAGACAGAGGCAAAAAATGCATTCAGCTTCTCAGCCATTTCCCTATCATCCTTCACTACTTCATTTACCCCTTGGTCATCCTAGGGCTCCACTGCCTCCCTGGCTGGTTCCCTGCTTCGAATGTATTTGAAGAAAAGTTTTATTGTTGGTATTTATGTTTTTTGCTATATGCTCCTCATAGTCCCTTTTTGCGTGCCTGATCACAGACTTGCATTTCATTTGCCACAGCCTGTGTTCCCTTTTATCAACCTCACTGTGACTACCTTTCCACCGATTAAAGGAATCCTTTCTACCTTTTACAACTTCCACACTTGAACACATATTGACCCAATCAATGTGTGGGTAGTTAAAATCACCTGTTACAACACAGTTATTTTGTCTAGCCGCTATCTTTAATTCATTCATTTTATAATCCTCCTCTGTCTTTTGCTCTGGTGGGCATAACAAACTCCCAGTGTTAAGCTTCCTTTTGGGCCCACTGTTTCAACCCGTAGCACTTCCAGAAGTGAATCCAGTTCTCTTACCCTCTCAATTTTACTGGACTGTATACCCTCTCTGACATACAGAGCCACCCCACCCCCAACGCTTCCCCCCTATCCTTCTGATATAATTTATAACCAAGAGTCACTGTATCCCACTGATTTTCCTCATCCTACCAAGTTTCTGAAATACCCACAATGTCTATTCCCCCCTCAAATACCAAGCATTCCAACTCCCCAATTTTACTTTGGACACTTCTAGCACTTGTATATCAACATTATATATACACACATACAAGAATATTACGTGATATATATCCAACCTACAATAGTGTTAAAAAAGACAAGTTTTTAATAGAGTGAATTTAGTAAATTTTCTTTAGCTAAATTCAGGTGATTTGTAATCCTTTAAAGTTCAGTTTATCGGTTACATTTCTTCTTCTTCTTCTTCTTGTGTTTCAAATTCATTGTTAACATCTTAGGTGCTGCTACTCCTTTCTCCAACTCAGTAGTTCCCGTGGTACTGCTAGAACATTTATATATAAACATCTATAGCTTCTCATGCATGTTAAGCCCACAACCTCCCTCTTGCTGCCTTGAGACCTTGCCAGGCAGTCCATATCGTTAGCCACAGTCTCAGTGGACAATTCTAATCCATGTCTGTGACGACCCCTTACCTGGGGAGGTCTGGTTTCCCTTTAAAGTGTTCTTTATGTTTTGATTTACTGTGTATATCCAGCTGCCACCAGGAAATTTAAGGCTTTCCAAACCTGCATACTATACTATTTCTATCACTGGGTAGGTAGGTCGGGTTTTAGGCTTTCGAGGTACTAATGTGGTCCTGGGAAGTATTTCTTTCAGAACTGGTATCTTAAATAAAAGTAGATTTATTGATATAATTCGTAAATAATATGGTAGTACACTGTAACTAGGAATGGGTAAATACTAAACAATTGCTTTGATATTTCACACACTTTTCTCTCTCACTGTCAGGGATCTTGGCATGTAACTTTGTAACACTTTTTTCCTTAAGGCCATATACGTTTACGGTTTCACTTTAGCCTGTCACTCAGACTTTTTATTTTTCTCTTTAACTTTACTTTCTTGTTTCATATACATTCAACCTTTCTTCATACACAGAACTAACTCCTAAGCACACAAAACTGCTTCTCTCCCAGACTTCAGAACTAACTCCTAACAACCACCGTCTTCATCAACTGTCATCCTTCAACTGTCACTCTTGACTGACATACCCGTTCATCCACTAATTTTTACTTCCAAAACCCCTCCCCCTTTCTGCCAATCACCAATCACACCACTTGCCTGTTTCAACCACTCTAGACTATCTCTCACAGCCATGCAACCAAACTTTTAAAGCGACACACACACATATAAGACAAGGAATCGTTACAATGTCCTTGTAGAAAAGTAACGGCTACCCTTCATCTCTTTGAGATGAACCATCCCGAACTAGAGACTTTTCATCTCCTGTCAGCTTTCCCCCAATATTCAGTTTAAAAACTGCTCTGCCACCTTTTTGATTTTAAGTGCCAGCAGCCTGGTTCCTTCTTGCAACAAGTGGAGACGGTCTCTTCTGTACATAACTTCATAGACTTGCAATTATACCTAATCCTTTGTCTGTTAACTAGGATAGATTACAGTCTCAAACCTATTTTAAAGGATGTATTTAATTGTAAATTAATGAAATAGACACATGTTAGAACCAACCAATGAAACTCACATTTAAGGAAGAATTCAAAGAAATAAAACCAACAAGGGAACTTCCTTGCTAACATATGGCTTAAATCAATACCCCATGCTTAATAGTGCAATCCTAAAAATTGTTACGCCTTAGAAGCCCACTGACAGAAACAGGCTTAAAGCATGTAACTCGTTTTAGGATTGCACTATTAAGCAAGGGGAACTGATTTAAGACACATGTTCGCAACAAAGTTCCCTTGATGGTTTTATTTGTTTTAGTTTTGGTAAGTGGTCTTCAATATTTGTTCTGGATGTACAGAGTAAATGTGATGTGGTAAATTTACTGAGCAGTCAACATACAGTTCTATAGTCAAGTACAGTTTAAAGGTACAAGAGGGTGAGATTAACTGAATCAAAAAGATCATAAGAATGAACATTTAAGAGAAAAGGAATGTCCTATCTTTATTGAGGTCAATATTTAAGAGAGCCTTTTTAAGATTCAAATTGTCTCCAATGTAATTAGTTACTTTCCCACAGTATCCTGCCCCCAATCAATCAGAATGTTTTCCAGAACTTTTCTTCCTACTGTTCCTCAGTGGAATCTGAATTCTGTGGCGATAATACAACATTTAATTACATAATTTGAAAACAGGCTAAGAATAATCAGTCTGCAGCATACCGTAATACTTGCAGATCTTCTTCAGAGTTCTGAACCTCATCCCTAAGTCGTTGCCAACGGAGCAAAGCTTTCAGATCCTGTTGCTCTTTCGCTTCATCAACCGGCAGCTGCTTCATACAAAAACATGTAGTTCATTGTTAGTTGTTTAATCCAATTTCTCAATAACTTTTTCAGGAAAATAAAACACTGTCTGTTGCTGCTCTTTAGGAAATGCAAGAGCAGTGAGGATGGCACTTTCTTCCATTCAGTCATGGGCTAAGGACTGAGATGTCTGGGCCGAGCGTTTCAGCATCGGGCGGTCAACATCTGAGTTAGTCAGTATCGGGGACAATGCAGTCATCAATGCTGAGGTGGCAGTCGACATTAACGCATGCCCCGAAGTGTCCTGTAACGACATCGGTGAGAGCACTAACTCCAAAAGCGTGACGTGAAGTCTAGCAGCTCTGTTCTTTCTCGTCTGCTTCGAGAACTTTGCGCAATGTGCACAAGAGTCCGCTCAGTGCGATTCCCCAAGGCACAGGAGGCAAAGCGAGTGTCCGTCTGGGGAAGCAATTTTACTACCACGCTTGAGGCACCATTTAAAGAAACCCCACCTCTTGGCCATAGGCCTGGGGGGAGGGACACGCGGTCTGCGAAAAAGAGACCAAACGATAAATTTGTAGTAACAATGTCCTTTCACTTAATAAAAAACAAGAAAAAAGGCGAAGAAACTTCAAAGAAAAAGAGGAATAGGCCTTAAAGCCAAAATTTTTACCGACCGAAGCGGAGAAGATCCTACCAGCGCAGCGGTCAGAAGAGAACTGGCGGGATTGTAGTGGCCCTCTTACGGTCATGCGCAGTGGGGCCGGCGCGTGACTGGGGAGCATGAAAATCCTTTTCACTTTCAAGAGGAACCGATCGAGGTCGGTGCAGGGGCACTATATCCCAGAGGTGCGATGCACAGAGACCACGAAGAAGGTATACAAGTTAACTCCTTATCTGTTTAACCCAGTGGGCTGAGAGCCAGTTTGGTATAGTGGTTAAAAGTGACAGACTCCTTGCTCAGTAGCAATAAAGTTCTAGTTCTAGTAATTAGATGCTTGGGGCATCAAGCTGGGGGGCAGCAGATGACACATGCATCTATTAATGCCTCCTGGTGTCCAAGATCTGGTTGCAGAGATCCTTCCTATGCACCCCACCATGCTTCCTGTCAGACTCAGGGCAGTCCTATGCACCCCACCATGCTTCCTGTCAGGGCAACATGGGAAGACATATCAATCTGCTTTTGTGTTGCTACTGTCTCAGATCCATCCAGGGCAGACTCCAGACATCAACAAGAGAAGCAGCATACATTTTATGGTATGTTTGCCTCCTCAGATCCATCTAAGGCAGGTTTCAGAGGAAGGTGGATCCTCTGCAGTCTGCACCAGATCCTACAAGAGTGGTAGCAATACTAAAGGAGGTGCATACTTCCTTTTGTATTGCTGCTAACTGAGATCCATCAAAGGAGCAAGTTCTTCTGGGGGGCTTCATGGGAGGACAGTGCTTGGGGTGGCCCTGTTCTGGCTTGAACTGGTCATATTCTGAAGAGAAATAGATGGCTACCTACAAATGAGATTCCAGGAGCATCTGGCCGGCCATTGCCAGAAACAACTGTGATGGACTAAACAAATCCTTGTTCCAACACAGTATTGCAATTATTATGTGTTAGATTTTAGAGATCTATTCTATTAACAATGTCACTTTCCCTCAGTGCAAGGAGCATTTGACTGATATGTTGGCAGAAGGCACATTGTACTGGAGAAAGGCATCACTGTTAGAGAAATGGAACCACAGGACCCATCCCTGTAATCTTAAATAAGGGTTTATGGTGTATTTGGTCTTATTGCACACACAATGCATACACTGAATAGGCCTTAAAGCCAAAGGTTTTACCGACCGAAGCGGAGAAGATCCTACCAGCGCAGCGGTCAGAAGAGAACTGGCGGGATTGTAGTGGCCCTCTTATGGTCATGCGCAGTGGGGTAAAAAAGCATCAGTAAAAAAGATAATTCTAACTGTACCTGCTGGGCTGCTGACCAAAAGGCGTCTTCTAAGTGAGTGGCAAATCCTTCACTTAGCCATTCTTCAGTCCAGTCACGCGCTCCAATGGCCAAGCCAAACCAGGCATGGGCAATTTCATGGCACAGGCGTGTTCCACAGAGGTGGTTCCCTCCAGGTAATGTGCTCTGCGACAGGAAGATGATGTGAGGGCTGCATAATATGAATGAAGGACAAAATACATTATAAACCTTGTTCCAGCATGTACTGCCTGGTTGCAGTAATATGTAGAGTTTATTAGGCTTGTCAGCCTGTTATTACTGTATGCATGCTATGTCATGACAGTTAGTTTATAGCTCAGACATTTTTAGGAATTAAGTTGCACTTTATTGTCTTCTGGCAGAGATTCAAGCTAAATATTCTGCCAAGCATTTGTTCCATATTCAGCCATCAAACAGCTATTACCTGTAATAAGTAACTTAAACCAAAGTTTTATATTTTTCAAATTACAAGGCTGATTTATTCCAGTGGAATCATTTATGCTTAAGCCAAGATAATAAAAGAAGGGCAGGTGTGAATACAGACCACAGATATTTTCGACTAAGTGATCAAAGCAACCAAGTAAAACAAAATGATTTTTAAAAATTAAGTTTAAATGTATTTTCAAAAAGGATATTATAAAAGTTGGAAACTGGAAACTATCAGTACAAAAAGAGAGGAAAACAAAACTCATTATGAATCTTTAAAAAGGCAGTGGTTTTAAAGGCACGCATGTAGTTTAAAAAGCACATTTCCCCCCCTAAAATTGATGTAGCATTACATAGCAAGGAGCTAGCTTGCCGGCCTCTGTGTATGTGAATTGCTCAACCTACAACAAAGACAGGTTTCAACTGAACCTATGCTAAGGGGAGAGATGACAGCTGTAAATTAAATACTACATTTTTCTAACTATACATTCTTTGACAGGATAAAATCTATACAGTATAATCTTTCTATGAGCAATTGTAGGTTGCCTATTACACTTTTTTGGATAAACAAAAATTAAGGGCAATTCTGTAAAACATCTCATAAGGTATGTATAAATTACTGAGTAGACTGTAGCCCTAATGAAGAGCATTGCCTTCATTTGAAATGAAGGGGAATATTTAAGAGAGGGACATTTTCTAAAATGGCTGGAAGTGAATGAGAGCATCCTTTACTCATAACATCACAGTTTGGCGCAAACCAACAGGCTGGTACTCTAGTGAAAATTGTTTTATAATCTGCTGACTCAAGTTAAAATGGCTACCTGCAGCTGATAAGATATTGGCGACTTCATTCTCTTTTTTATTTTCTTTCTGCACATATCACACAATCTATGTGTTAGAGGTCTTGCTCCAAGAATTTAAAAAAAAATGAAACAGAATTTTTATTCCACAGCTAAAACCTGAAATCTAATATCTGAAAAAAGTGAAATCTACAGATTTTATTCTGATTATTGTGGAAGTTATATTGTAGAAGAATAAGACCTTCTGAGCTCACAAAACAGGATTGCAAAGCATTCCTAGTTTGAACACTAAAAGCAGTGTTCTCAGTGAAAGAACACAAAACTGAGAATAGTACAGTGTTGTAATTCTTCAAGTCACAGTTACAATGGCATAACTTATTTTAGAATGTGAACCTAGACCTTGGCCTGGTTTGTGTCTTGTCAGCAAAGGTTCAGCTATGAGAAAGCAGAGGCTCTTCTGTGAAGTGGCCCAAGAATCTGGATTTCTCTTCCCAGTGTTTATTATGCAAGTGCACATCTTTGTGAACTTGGGGGGCAGGGTTAAAGTATTTTTGTTTGGTTTTGAGAAGTAACTAGGAAATATGAAGGATGCATATGTTGTTTTATTGCTACGCTGACATACTGAAATAAGGGCTTCTTGTTCATTTTGATATGGTGATTATTTAACTTTGGTTTTGTTGAGGAGTTTTATTGTCTTGGAAAATGTCTTAGATTTTCAGATGGATGGGGTTAGAAATATGGAGAAGTCTGGACTTAGACTAGGGAAATTTGGCTTCAAATCCCTGTATAGCAATGAAGCTCAATGGAAAGTCACATGTGCAAGTTACTATCTCTTATATTATCTTACATCACAAGGTAGCTGTGAGGATAAAATGATACAGCCCTATATATACCCCACGATTTGCTATAACTTTAGTTCCTACCCCAAAATATCTTGAATTCTTGCTTGTATTTCTTACCGTAACAAGTCTAAAAAAGGGCAAATATCATGCTATTACCCTTCATTAATGAAGTGGAATGAAACAAGACATCATGAATGCTGTTCAGCTGAGCATGCACGGCATAAGAACATAAGAACATAAGAGAAGCCAATGTTGGATCAGGCCAATGGCCCATCCAGTTCAATACTCTGTGTCATATAGTGGCCAAAAATACCAGGTGCCATCAGGAGGTCCAGCAGTGGGGCCAGGACACTAGTAGCTCTCCCACTGTTGCCCCCTCCAAACACCAAGAATACAGAGCATCACTTGCCCCAGACTGAGAATTCCTATCTATACCTTGTGGCTAATAGCCACTGATGGACCTCTGCTCCCTATGTTTATCCAGGGCTCTTTTTGTAGAAAAAGCCCAGCAGGAACTCATTAGCATAATAGGCCACACCCAACAGCAGAAACTCATTAGCACATTAGGCTGCACCCTCATGTTACCAGAAGTGTGGTTATCCAGCCACACCCACCTTTTGCTTGTTATTCTGTTTACCTTGTTTGTTGTCAAAACCCAGGGCTTTTTTGTAGCAGGAACTCCTTTGCATGTTAGGCCACACACCCCTAATGTAGCCAATCCTAATGAGTTTCTGCTGTTGGGTGTGGCCTATAATGCTAATGAGTTCCTGCTGGGCGTGGCAAATTTGGGAGCCAGCCGGAACTCCGTTCCTGTGCGTTCCTGCCCAAAAATAGCCCTGTGTTTATCTAATTCCCTGTAGAAGCCGTCCATGCTGGTAGCCGCCACCACCTTCTGTGGCAGTGAATTCCATGTGTTAATCACTCTTTGGGTGAAGAAGTACTTCCTTTTATCTGTTCTAACCTGACTGCTCAGTAATGCTCACCCGCCCACCCAGTGGTTCGAAAGCAGTAAAATATAGCAAGTAGATAAATGGGTACCTGCCCTTAGATGGCAGGGGGCACCCTCCTCCGTGTGAGGTGTGTGGCAGAAGCAATCGGCGGCAGCGACATCGGAGTGGTTGGAACAACGAAAGTGACGGAGCAGCGGCGAGGCGATCCCTGGTGGCCAGTGAGTGGAACATCGAGTGGCGAGATCTAACAACAACAGAAGCAGAGCCGGAGCCACGGAGGAACGCGGTGACGTAAAGGCGCAGGCACGGCGGAGCCGAAATGGACGATGGCCGGGCTGTGGCTGACACGGGCCGCATGCTGAAGAGACCGCCAAAGCTGGGGGACCTGCCCTGCCCCTGGACACCGGAGACGGGATGCCGACCCCGAAAGACCACCTGGAGGAAGAATGCCGGAGCCGGAGAACAACAGC